GGCAGAATTAGACAGGATGGTAAACATGGTGAAAATGGGGTGAAGAGCAGGGTAAGGCATTCAGAAAAATATAGGTGCTGAAAATCAACCTAAATATTAATGTAAAAATGGATAAAGGATGCACTGACTTTCCCTTTTGTTATAAGAACACTGAAAACATGATGGACCATATACGTAATGACAAAATAAAGCTATGAATGCCTGTTCAAGATGTATGTGTTTACAAAATAATTGACAAAATCGTTGACATTTTCTTTTCTTTTTTTTTGCTTTCTTTTATTGTAACGTATATATACTTTGTGTGATAGAAGATTGTGTTGCAATTTCTTTCTGCCTTGCTGTATGCAAATCTGTTCCTGCTCCCACTGCTTTTCAAGTACATTGTTTCTTGGATCCTCCTAAATGTTGAACTTTAAATACCAGAGCTTTTAGCAGGTTACACCACATTAACAAAAACAGGAAAAAAAAAAAAATAGACCGGCATTTACAAGAAGAGGTTTTCTCCATTTGAAGTGTACAAAGCAGTCTTGGGCAGTAGGTATTGAGTGAAGAGAGTGAAAATTGGCAGGAGTTCACTGGTCTCAAAATGGACACATTACTGCTACAGCACTTGACATAGTGACTCGAGGCAGCTGTTGGTTACGGCTCTGCTTTTTGCGCATCAATTTTGACATCTCTAAGTGTTTTTACAGTCTGCCAGACTCAAATTATTATTATTATTATTAAATATCTTTGCCCAATTTTTCTCTACAGTGTCGCCTCTTGTCTCTCCAACCACTCACTCAGAGTACCTTACTATTTTGTTTGGCAGGTCTTTTTTGAGGCCTGACTTCACAAAAATGCTTAAGGTTGGTATTTTTTTGAGTCTTGCTGAACAATTTTGCTGTCCATCTTCAATATTTGTTTTCAACAGTAGCTTGAAAGGTTGACAAATGAATCCCTGCTTCTCTAATGATTGCCATTGTGTACTTGGGCAGGACACCTCCCCTACATTGCTTAAGTATGAATGTGTGGCAAGCCATTGGTACAGATAACTGTTGTCATGATTTAAAATAAAGGTTTTGATACTAAGGAATATGCCCAATACTCTGACCAATGTTTTTTACCACAGGGATAAAAACTTAGACTGTAAGAGTGTAATTTCTGACAGAAAAAAATGTGTAGCTTTGTTAATGTCACCGTGAGAACCTATTATAGTTCTTATAAAACTCTAGATCATTCAAAAACTATTTGGGAAGCGTCCAGTTATGTCCCATGGATTTTTCAGTATCGATGCTTGAATGAAATGCCTAGTTTCATTATTACTAGTTTAAGTATTGATCAGTATCAGATTTTTGATTCTTTTGACAACCCTGGTACAGATTGGTAGCCATGTCTCGGCCCAGAGCATCTGTGGCTTCAGTAGTAATAGTAGCTTACCACCACTAAACTGGGGAGTGAATGAACAATCTAAAGTGCTATATGAACCCAATTGTCTTCTATTGCACTGGGTCTTAACTTGTGGTACCCATCTCTCTGTCTCTGTCTGACAGTGTTTGTGAGATATTGGGTCTATTTATTGAAAGGGATTTACTGATGGGAAAAGTCTGGCATGCCTATCATTCCATATGTACACTCTTTCTTGCCAAATTCCGCATCTTCAGATTAATAATCATAGCTGTTCACTGATTTGGTGAACGGAAAATTGAATAAATTAGATGCATATAATTACTAGTAGAATTATGCACCAACTCACAAATGGTCTTTATAGAAAAGACGCATATTGCAGATTTACAGATGCAGATGATTCAAAAGATGTGCCAGAAATCCACTGAAAGTTTAAGAAAAGAAACAAAAAGTGTAAAAACTTAAAGCTGAACTATGTCACTTTTCTGGTGGAGTGAGAGATGAGAGCCCACTGACAGAAAGAATGCATGTTTTCATAATTTAGAGAAATAAAAAGTGTAATTTAATGAATGCAAAATAGGTTTAATGCCATTTTGGGGACATTCTAAACAAAGTAATACGGTAACCTGCATCAAGGAAAAGTTTCATAGTGTAGCTTTAACATTTCCAAATTGGTAGTTTTACACCAAATGCCCTTCTTGACAACAGCCTTTTTTATTACAAAGAATGAAAATTTTTCCTTCAAGTTTATATTTTTATTACTTTATTCCCGAGAGTTTTGAGCATAAAATCAATTTTAAATGATACTGGTTGAAATTACTCATTTTTATTTATCTAATAATTGATTGGTTGGTTGAAAGCAGCTGGCCGCTAAGAAATTTCCTTCGGGATTAATAAAGTTTTTATCAATGTGGTTAACAAGACCAAGCAAGCCACATAGGAAACCATAATACAATAAAATGAAAGCATAAATAATGAAATAAAATGGGAAAGAGCAAAAGGGAGTCAGATTGCCAGAGTAACAGGAACAAAGATGGCGAGAGTCAATGAGAAATATGTGTTGGGCAGATGGAGGAGAGGAGTGTGATGGCAGAAACACTGGGCGAGCCGAGGAGATGGTGAGAGATGGAGAGGGCCAAAACGTGTGAAACGCAACCACTTCTATCAGGACTGAAGATGGAGGAGATATGAAGAAGATATGAGGAGAAAGAGCACGCTTTAATACTCGACCAAACCGAAATGGTGACTTAATACTGTAGTTACTTACACTACCTGTCAAAAGTTTGAACGCACCCTCTCATTCAATGTTTTTTTTTAGTTGCATACGCAAGACATTAAATACATGAAGCAATATTTATGTAATGATATAGAAAACTAAAAAAAAGTTAAATAATGGATTTGTAGAAATTGGAAAACTTAGCTTGGCATGATTTCTTATCAATTAATTATGCATGCACTGTAGATAAGTTTAAGTAAGATTATAGTTGTCTCTTACATTTCTTTTTACTGTCCCCTTGTGGTTAGAGTTACTATTTTTCCCAAAAGTTGTGTACTATTCCCTATATGCTGTGTATATTCGATGCATTTGTATTGAAAATCCAACTTGGATCCTCCATAATCCATTGTTTTTTTTTTTATAGTGAATGAAAAATTCAACAAGTGTAAAGGTGCATGATGTAATTTTTTAGTTTTAGGATTTGTCACTATGTTGTCTCCAGGGAGATGTTATTGCTTTTCACCGAAATGTTTCAGAGTATGGCATAAAATCCATGGTATAAAGCTGGAAATGCCACCAAACTATGTATTCTCTCCAGAAATGTTACGTAGAGTAACTTTAACGACAATCACATGTTTCATCAATTTGTATTATTATTATTGTTATTTTTTATATAACTGTTACAATATGAATTGCCATAGACAGACGGTGTTTTGTATCCTTGTGTTTTTGTTTACCCGGAAACCTCTGGCTTTACTGGCAAACTCGCCCCTCTTTGTCCCGCTCCGCTGTTGCTCTATGGCTCATATTATAAACATACAACAGGTCCAGTCTATTCACTCGTTCTATAGAGGCCCCTAGAACTGTGCGTTGTCAGGCTCAGTACTGCTATGTCAAACTCAATGGACAAGACTAGACATTTATAGCAGTGGGTCAGAGCTGGTGGGACATAGAAATACAACATACGTCTGAATGGACAGAGCTGTGAAGTATTAGACACAGGATGCTGGGCTCCTTGGATGTCCTCTATCGCATCCTCGTACACAAGGTAATAATTATGAGATTTCGAGAGGGAAATTATGTTGTTATGAAATAAGTTTCTATTGGTATGGGATCAGAAGTTTTATCGTTAAATAAATTGATTGAATATAGTGGTTTTTCAGTCTATTTGTAATATATATTTTTATTTTTTATTTTGTAGAACCATTTTAGGGTTCATACATTTTACTGCTACTACTAATTATTGATACCAAAACTAAATGTTAAGCTTTATCTAAGAACCATATTTTTCGGACTATAAGGTGCACTTAAAATCCTTTTAATTTTCTCTAAATTTGAGAGTGCGCCTTATAAGCCGGGTGCCTTATGTATTAATTTTGGTTGTGCTTACTGACTTTGAACTGATTTTAGGTGGTACACGGTACGGTGCTCAAAAGGGTCTGTCAAAATGGTTTAGTACGACTTTAGTAAGATACGAAGCTGCACCGCTTGATGGATTGTTGGAGCATTATGGCTACCGTAATGCTTCGTCAGGAGGCTTGCGGAGTAAAGGGAGAATTATAGTTCTGCATCGGCATTTATGACATCAATGAAATGCTACAGAGAATATATGTCCATTCATATATACGGTCTATGCGTATGACTGCAGATTTGTAATCTCTGAAAAGTTTCACATGAACCATCTCCAGCGCGATAGAAGGACAGAACAGGCTCAGCATCAGCATCATCAACATCCCTCTGTCACAGAAAGAACACATATATTCCACTGATTGTGTCCTTTAGTCTGACAGAATCTGACCACATCAGGGCACAAAGAGCGAGATGTTTTTTCAGGCTTACAGTTTATGCAAATTAACCATGTGGTTTTATGTTTCGTTTCTGTAAAACGTAAACAAATGTGTGCAAAGCTGCATTGAACACATTATTACTTTTATGCCACTATCTGCCAATCGATCGTCAAAGTATCAGTGTCAAGTGTTGTCCATTTGTTTCACTTAATGTGCTGTATAATCCAGTGTGCCTTCTGTATGAAAATAGAGGAGAGAATTCAACATTATTGGTAGTGCGCCTTATAGTCCGAAAAATACAGTATACTAAAATTTTGCAAAAAAATTTTTTTTCAACAGTCTACACATGCATCTCTAGATATTCAAGGTATTTTTAACTAGTTATTTTCCCAGATGATTTTCAATTTTGTCATTGTCACATTAATGATTTTCGGTTTTGGATGTTGCTACCATACAATTCATCATTTCTGATTATTTGTAATTTGTCATTTTGATTGTAAAACATGCTACAAAGTTTGGCTTAACCTTAGCCTTTTTTTTTTTTTTTGGCTAGTCTTTGTCACTGCTTGTTTAAACCTTTCCCGTAAACATGTTTTGTTGTTGATTTTCAGCTGATGGCGGTGTACGAGGAGCAGGAGGCTCAGAGGACCACCCCGGACCCCGGCGTCAGTCCCAGCCCTGAACTGTACCACTCCGAGCTTTCCGTGTTTCAGCCAATCACAGGAGGCGAGATTGAAGTCACCCCCTTTGCTCTCAAGTCCAGTGAGTCATTTTTTTCCACATACATGCCACGTTACTATTACATATTATTTAGTATTGGTCAGGTAATCAAATTTTATCTTATAGTTTAATCTGGTATAAGAAACATGGTTCATAATAACATTAGGATTTTGATAAAGCAATGCTATTCTAATCATGGTGTTGCTAATGAACCAGTCATATATCACTTTTTAGGGTACCAAACTTTTAAAACCATACTTTTAACACCTCGACATGCACAATATTTTAAACAGTTAAGAATAACCCATGACTAATCATAATTTTATGAGTTTATTTTATCCAAAAAAGCAACACATTTATAATACAAATTGAAAAAGTAAAGTATCAAAGTTAAATTCAAATCCATAATCAGCGTTACCAAGTGTATTATTTTGTAAACACCCATTAGAATATTGCTTGGGATAAATTTATCTATGGTATAAAGTACAAACCTTTAGCACTCATTTTCCAACTTGACAAAACATGTGCATTCTATTTGTTGAAGTAGTGAACGTATTATAAAGAAACGTAATCCCTCAGTTGTCCTGGTAAATTCCATTGCAAAAGAAACTTTAATTATGTCAACTGGACTTTTCCATATACTATAAATCTCACAACTCTTCATTTCAATCGTCTCACACAAACTGTTTCAACCCATTTTTGGTTCAAATTCTATCTACCTCCAATCTCAGAACTGCAGCTCTCAAAAAAGGTTAAAAGCGTCATCTAGCAAGATTTTGACAAGGCAAAAAATGAGGAAAAAGTCAAACAGACAGAAGAAAAAGTAGCAGAAATAAAGACAGGATGTGTGTTCTATGTCAGGACCCCAGCAGACTTTTATATTTACGTCTGGCTTTTGTTACCTGGACAAGTCCTATCTCAATAACCTTTACTCAACTGTTTAAACTCTCTATTGTTTTTCTGTGCGCCCTCCCTTTCTGTCTTTTCTTATGCCAAAGAAAGCCAAGCTAAAAATACACAGTGCTTTGAAACTTAAAGCTGCATAAATGTTTGTGTAACCTTTTTTTTTTATAATGTTCTAATTATGTCAAAGGCCATAACACCCCTTGGACAGCACTATACCATGGCATTGTCTAAGTATTTTTTTTCTTTTAGCTGCATCTCAGTCATTTAAAGCAACAGTATGTAACCTTTAGCTAAAAAATAGACCAAAATCAATGCTTTTTTCTTTCATTTGACCTTATTCGGCCTGGAGAAGGGCTGCCTCCTACAAAAAAATGAGAAGGCGCTAAGACTAAGCTATAAGCAGTCAAACATATGGAGATATTCGTCATACCTGCCAGTAACTTTTGCCCTGTACTGTATTATACATTGTCAGTACAAGGATGACATCTTACTTTCTAGCTCCAAGCTTAGCCCTTTGAGTCCAGCTCTGCAGAGACAGGAAGTTTAGTCTGTTTGCACATTGTCCTCAGTCAGGGGACCGTCAGAGGAAAGTGTAATGGAGGATTTGAGCTATTCATTGTCTGGAAACCTTCTCTGTCAGGGTCTTATGCTGATGCCAAAACTTTCTGTAGATTTGTTGTAGCAACCAGGAAGTATTTTGGAATAGTCACACTCTAATACGTTAAATAGACAATTGTCAGTGAAGGGAAGAATGTGGAGGAGCAGAGAGGGGCAATGACACAACATAGCAATATAGTAAACACTAGAGCTAACATAGTAAACCTTTTTTATTTATTTCCCTGATGTAGACTTTGTTCCTGATCTCATCTTGGTTTAGTGTTCGTTCATTATAGTCCAAATGTAATCTTGATTTTGTTGTGGTGTTTGCAAGTGAACACACACATCTCTAGTTAATATATACAATCTCTCTGTACCTGAAAAATGTGAAAAACAGAAGTAGTTAATTTTGGTTAGCAGTTTTTAGTTTCAGAGACTGACACTTGGCATGCAAACCTGCACTTCCTGATTATGGGACAATAAAATGCTTTCTAATTAGACGCAGACAGCAGGCACTGGACTTGATTTTGAAGAGCTGCTTATAAAGATTGAAACTTACATCAGTGAAGAACACGGACACTCAGAATTATAACTACAGTATTATTATGCCTTGGATATCACCAGTCCTATTTGATCTAACATTGCTCCTGTCTGCTTCTCCATAAAAGAACAGAGCTATCTATAATAGTATCACCAAATACAACATCTAAAAGGGGCTTATAAGTAATGACTTTACAGTGTACCAGACCACTAACATCAATGATATTTTTCATAGCACTCTATATCCCTAATCCTCTTTGTACCTCTCGACTGGTGCTCTTTACATTGACCCCTGAACTTGCCAAGACCCCATTGTTTCTTTGTCTGCCATAAATGCTTTTCTTCCATCTGTGCGCGCTCCTTTCACTGCCTTTCTTAAAAGAGATGAATTGATTGAAGCTTTGACGTAATCCATATCTGGAGCCCGGCTTAAGAGCACCCAGGGTCCATTTTGTGATGATCAATACATGACCCTACAAATATCATTGGACATATGCTGTTAGTAGGCCACTCAGACTGCCTCTCTACTGCTCCTCCATCACCAGTCTACATGCAGTCCCCATGGAGCTATATGGAGGCTAATATGACAATGTCTATAATGTTTACAGCCAACTGGAGAGGTGAGTCATAGTAAGAATGCATGTTTATCAAGGTACAAGTTGAGATTCAATACATTTCTTTGCCATTTTTGCACATTGGAATTCTTGTGCTAGGCTCTTAGGTGTTCAAGTAAAAACAGGTCAAAAGTGCATTTTAGGGCTGTACAATCTAAAGTTTTGGACCAAAAATCACAATCTCAGACAACTCGATTTTGGGAGCATCAAATCCGTGTTTTTTTTGCAGTGCTCCTGAAGCCCAATTTATGGATTATGGATCTGCGTTGAGGTCTATGCACCCCGAGTTAATTGACCCCACAACACGAGAAGGCAAGAATTTAAAGCTGGCATTCGTGTGAAGTTTAACATGAACCAACACAATAGAAGCACAGAACAGACTCACCATCATCAGCACCTCCTTTGCCACAGAAAGAACACTCATATTCCACTGAGTCCTGTCCTTTAGTCCGAAAGAAGCTGACGGCATCAGCGCACAAAGAGGGAGCTGTTTTTTTCAGCGTTAATAGTTTATGCAAATGAGCCATGTGGTTTTAAGTTTTGTTTCTGTAAAAGGTAAACAAATGTGTGCAAAGCTGCAGGACTCTGGTATGATGTAAGTTTCTGTGATGTTTGCAAATGTTCATGTGCTCTGAAAATTGATAGAAAAAAAAAAAAAATGTGGATGAAATCGGAAGTGCAGTATCTGCCAGAAAAATCACAATTCATTTTTTTTCTTAAAATCGTTCACCCCTAGTGCATTTAAAAAAAACAAAACAAAAACAAACATATATTCAGTAAAAGATCTACATTAAATATATCTTTTGAAAATTGTAACTGAATTGTAATTGAAGCATGTAATTGACTAAATGCATCGTAGATAAGTTTAATGTCATATTCTGAAATATCTTTTGACATCTCCATAGAGACAAGTAGGTGGCGGACTGGCAGACTTTTGACCACTTAAGTTACATTGTGCAATTTTACCAATTTTATCATCAGTAGTTTGTATATTTGACTGACCATGTTGGATAGACACTGACCACAGCTTACCAGGACCACACCAGACCGAATAACAATCATGCAAGTATTCATTAAAAAAATTGCCTTTCAAGTTACCCAAAAGGCTTAAAATTGCAGTTCATGTCTTACTCAGATAAGCTTTCACTGCCCTTGAGTGGAAACATGGCTGCCCAACTCTCCTACCACGAATTATTTACACAAGCACCGTTAGAATTGGAATAGAACTTTATTTGTCTGTTTCAAGTCATCATAATATACAAAATGTTTACTTTAATTTCCTCCCCCTAAAAACAACGCCACAATTAAAACATAATTTGTCAGTGGTCATAATGTTTTGCTCGATCTGTCTGTTAACATTTCATGAACCATCATAGAAACTGCATATACTGTCTTCAAGTATTTCTGTTTATTTGTGTTGGGCTTTTAAATGTTGACTTTCCTCTTTCATTTTCCGTAGCAGCGTTGTGTACTCCATCGATCAGCTTGAGTTAAATGATAATTTTATGCAGTGAGCTGATGAGATGTGAAGAGGAAGACACCCTCATATGTTACCTACCAGCCTTCTCCCACACATACAGGCATCACTCACTTATTGCCCATTAAGGGAGTTTGAGCTTTGAGTTATAAGAGGAAGGCAAACTTTAAAACTAAACTTGGAAAAAAGCAACTTAAAAAACGCTTTACATTTAGAAATTAGCACCGCAAAATATATATCTTAAAAGTATTGAGAGTGCAATATAGGCTGAGGCTTTAATCAATACTAGAACAAACAAACAACAAGGTTCTCTGAAATGTACAGTTTTTCTAAAAATGTGAAGGCAGATTTCATTTATTTTTATTCTCCTAAATTACCATTGATTTAATCTTGGTTTTCTCTTTGTTAAAGGTGCTGTATTACGTAAAATTGACTCTTGTGAGCTTTTAGCCATGTTATAATGCTGTTACCTCAACAAATACACACCCGGAGTTCTGTTTCGTTTTATTCACACGTTTGAGTACAGTACAGTCTACATCTCCAAAGCTCAAAATGCTCTGTGCCACTTTGTGATGTCATGAAGCTGTAGTTTTCTTAACTTAGCAGCTACCTTTTACCTTTTTTTAAACAGAGATTGGGAATTGAAATGGTTGAAATTATCCAAATGATTCTAGTGAAGTGAAGTTTAAAAATATAATGGAGCATTTCCTGTATTACCACATGACATCACAAGGTGGATCAGTGTGTTTGCTGTTTAAGAGAGCTCAGCCTAAATATGCAAGGTTTGTCTTGTGTGAATGAAAGAAAAATGAAAGAAAACACAACTCCATGTATGTTTTTGATGAGGAAACAATAACATAAATCAGAAAATAGCGTAATATAAGCATGCATATTTTAGTTTCAATATAGCTGGAATCACTGTCAAAAAGTACATTAAAATATCACGATAGTATAATGTATTAACAAGCCATATTGCACGTTGTGATCTTTTCCAATATGTGCAGCCCTATTAGAAATATATTTTCTGCATATAGCACAAATCTACACACAAATCTATACAATGACCTTAACATTATGGTCATCATGACTACTTATAGAGCAAAGTGAATAGTATGGATTATTGAATTACTAGGCTGCATCCATTGACCCAGAACAGACAGTACAGTGATAAAATAGGTACTTTTTCACAAGACCTGCTACAGTAGATTTTATTAATGGCAAAGAGTGTAGCAGGAAGTGGAATCATGAGCAGGGAGAATAAAGTTATTCTACTTTCTTATTTAGCGATTTATATTAATATGTCAGGCTAGTTTTGATTCATTATTTGGGCATGGGAACTTCCACAAAAATGAAAATACAAATCTTATATAAGCCTTTTTTTTTTTCAGCAGCTTGCAATTCTGTTCAGTATTAATTCACTCCATATTATAGGGGGATAACCAGAGCTGCCCTGGGGTAGACTGATGGATGTGAGGCTGCCAATCTGCTCCAATATCCTCTTGAACCATCATCAATTATTCACTCACACACCTCTACATTCATACACATGCAAAGAAGTTGAAGTATTTTCCCCAAGAACCCTCCTTAAACTATAGATTTTTAATATACTGTTACCATATGCCAACATAATGTAAAATGACTTGTTATTTTACAGACACCCCCCTGCTGGTCAGGAGCAGTAGTGACTCCGCTCTCAACCCTCCGCCCACAGAGACCGGACCCTCTCTTCCAGAAGACCCTGCTCCTATGGTGAGACCCCTAAACAAGACTCCCTATGCAAATCTGTACATATTATCCCACCAAACAAAACTGCTCTCGCCATTTTCCTTATGCCCATTTTTCTCTCAATGCAAATAAAGGCTTTAATACACCATCTGGCTCATTCTGCACTCATCAGCAACTCCCAAGTATAAAATATTTGTTTACACACAATTGTCAACTTAATTATACTCAAATGTTTTGCTGCTGATATGACAGACTTAATTTCAGTTATGGATGTTGTTGTTTCTTCATGCATAGACAAACAGTGCCTCTAAAAGTCTACCCCTTAAGTATTGTGTGCGCGTGTGGGTTTATTTTTAAAAATATACAAAATCTGTTATAGGGGCATACATTTAAATAACTTTGAAGGACAAGGAAAACAACACTGCTGTTATGAACTGACTTCCTGAGCCATTATTTACTGCGTTTCACTCTATACAGTGTTGTTTTTCTTTATGTAATCAGATCAGATGACCAGAACGTCCCCAAACAAGTTGTTATGGGGTACTGCAGAACAAAGCAGTTACATGTCTGTGGGAACAAGCAGGTGGCAGCCCCTTCATTCAACAGTAACATAGTGCATCTTTAAGAGATTTCTCAGCTTTTTGCTCTTTTATAATGTTATTGTTGGCATACTTGAAGGGTCCAGTATGTTATGACAGTCTCTCAGTTCCCTATGCTTTCTGACATTACTGTACGCCTACTGTACTTAAAGGCACTGTATCTGATTGTGTCTCAAAAATGTGAAAAACAGCTGTAGCAAAAGAGAAACAATTCTTGCTATGGATCATATGTGGAGGACTGTGGAATTACACAGACAGAGACAGAAGTAGTTCGTTTTAAACAGTTTGCAATGGTCCAAGGTTATTCCTCACTTACCATGTTCATTCTGAGCGTCCTAGTAAATCAAGGGCCTTTTACAACTCTCAGAGACCAGAGCGGAGTTTTGCCCTTGTGGTAAAGCTAACAACAACCAGCGTGCTAACACACAGTTCCTGTTATCAGACAATAAAGCGCTTTCCCATTAAATACAGACAGCACACAGAGCTATATTTCACCATTTTCGGATCTATATTATGTTTTCTCATCAAACACACAAACCCTGTAAACCCTGAGTTCTTCTCTCAAATAAAAGACACTGTTCAGTATGCTATTAGCTGCTTTTTACTTATTATATATACTTATTATATATTTGGACGGATTATTTGTTTGCTACATTGTCTATTCATATAAACGGTGTATGGTTGGCAACACAGCGGATACATGCACAGTCTGAGTGCACAAAGCACCTCTGTGTATGCGGTTAACATGAAGTTGCAACACTACCTAACGCTGGTGTCGGCGCACTAAACTAGTTTATCGGCGCGTGATGAAATAAGGTATGATGCTAAATGAACATTAGTGAGTTTGATACGTCTTACCCATATGTGTTAAATGCAGATGGGTTTGTAAATGACAAGAAGAAACATCTCAAACTTCAGTAGCCGGACATCCACTCATACCTGATCGATGCAACTAGCCCCGCCATGGGAGAGCCTGAATTCCTAAAAGACACTGTCATGATACAAGAGAGGACAGTGGCTCTTTCTGCAGGAGACATGCGTAGTAGAACACGGGGACAAATGTGGTGATGCACCGAGGAAGATGCTAGTTTGATTGTGTTCTGACCAGTTATTTTGGGCTTCATGCATGAAGAAACGCATATGATGCAGCTTTTAAGTTAAAGACAATCAATCTGTCTGTCGAAGAAGGAAATAGAGCTGCTGCACGTGAGCTTGGAATCAATGAGTCGATGGTGAGATGTTGGTGACGGCAGCTTGACAAAACGACAACAGTTTTCAGAGGCAATAAAAGCTTGAAAACGCTCACCTGTGGCTTATAGACAGGTGCAGCCTATACAGTCCCTGACAAAAGTCTTGTCGCTTATCCATTTTGTAGAAACAAAAGCTTATAACCTGACTTTAAATTAATCGATTGGTTTTAGAAATGTCTCATATGAAAGCTAAAACCCTCCCAAATTATGCTCAATATACTAAAAGAAATTTGCTTTACTGAAGAAAGATTGATCATTTAATGAACACAGAAAGGTCAGATTTTGGCAAGACAAAAGTTTTGTCGCCTACAGAAAATTGAACAAATAATTTCAAATACAAAAATATGTTGCATAACGTCAGTGAATTAAGTAGTGCTGTGAGATCCATATTTAATATCTTGTATGACTTCCATGAGCTTGAAGGACGCATCCATGCGGTTCGACAGTGATTCATACAATTTGTTGATGAAGTCATCAGGAATAGCAAAGAAAGCGTCTTACATGCCTCCCAGAGTTCATCAAGATTCTTTGGTTTTGCCTTCCATGCTTCCTCTTTCATTCTACCCCAGACATGCTCAATGATGTTCATGTCTGGTGACTGGGCTGGCCAGTCCTGGAGCACCTTGATCTTCTTCACCTTGAGAAACTTTGATGTAGAGATAGAAGTATGCGATGGAGCACCATCCTGCTGCAAAATTTGACCCCTTTTATGGTTGGGAATGTAAGAGGAGCTAATACTTCTTGATATTTTAGGTTATTGATATTTGCCTTCCACCCTGCAAATGTCTCGCACACCCCCATACTGGATGAACCCCAGGACCATGATTTTTCCGCCACCAATCTTAACTGTTTTCTGGGTGAATCTTGGATCCATGCGGGCTCCAGTAGGTCTCCTGCAATATTTGCGGGGGGCTGTGATGTAATTCAACCAAGGATTCATCTGAGAAATCCACCTTCTGCCACTTTTCCAGTGTCCATCCTTTTAGCAGGCTGTGGGCCTTGGCAAATGCCACACGGTTTTTTAATTACCTTTTGTTTAGTGCTGGTTTCTGTGCACTGATTCGACCATGGAGGCCATTTCGAGACAGAATTCTACAAACTGTTCTGGTTGACACAGGGACTTGAGGTGACCAGGCCTGGTGGAGTCTGCTGCAGTGGAAAAGGGGCTGGCCTTGGATCTTTGAATCAACAAACGGTCCTCCCGAGCAGTTGTCTTGCGGGGTCTGCCGGACCTGGGCTTGTCAAAAACATCTCCAGTCATTTCAGATCTTTTTCTTATTCTTTGTACTTGACGCTGAGACACATTGAAGGTGTCACCACCTCAGCAGTGGATCTGGTCTTCAGCCTCTTGATAATTAATGCTTTGGTCTCAGGGTGGATCTTAGGCATGTTGTCAGAGGTCAAGTTGCAGTTGATGTGAAGGTCTGGTGTGCTGGGGTTCTTTTTATACACACCCACTAATTGATTGATCAGTAACTGATCACAGGTGAGGCTGTAATCTAGGATTGGGTGCATCATATGACAAGGCGACAAGACTTTTGTCTTGCCAAAATCTGACCTTTCTGTGTTCATTAAATGATCAATCTTTCTTCAGTGAAGCAAATTTATTTTAGTATATTGAGCATAATTTGGGAGGGTTTTAGCTTTCATATGAGACATTTCTAAAACCAATCGATTAATTTCAAGTCAGGTTATAAGCTTTTGTTTCTACAAAATGGATAAGCGACAAGACTTTTGTCAGGGACTGTATATGTAAAAACATTTTTTTTCTTTTAAAAGTTAGTTGTTGCAGCTTATATTCAAGTGCACTCAATAACCCAGAAATAACAGTATATAGGATTTGGTGCTGTCTTCCTACCAGTGGTGCAGGATGACAGCGCCATCTGCAGTCCAACTTCCTCAAGACAGTATCCCAGGTGTGATAGTAAAAAAGCTCCCTTGTCCCGGTTTATAGTCTTGTGTGCATGATTTTGGGTGGCTTTTTTATACTTGTTCATAAGAGTCCATCTTGTATTATAAAGGACCTTTAATGCATCGCTAATAGCTACCTCTCTGTTCACATGCTATGCTAAATTAGTGCTGTTATTGTGGTTGTAAGGTTCATATTCCTCTAAGCTCTTTGGACACAGTAAATCTCCATTGGCCTCTTGGTTTTAAAAAAGTTATGCCTGATTACACTCTTGAGAGGTGAACCACTGCCCCGTGAGACTGGACAAGCACCTTTTAAGGGCCCTAATTCCCCAAAGAAAGGCTCTCAACTGTCCCCCTTTTGTCTCATGTGGCAAAATAGCTCATGTTTCTTAGATTCAGTTACTAAGGGAGAGGAGAGCTGTGTATGTCTACTGTCTCTCTTGTCAGTTAGTGTGCTGTCCAGTGTAAAACCTGAACCTTAAAGCCTCTTATGGTGAAAAGCACATGTTAATTCATCACGTTTGCAGAATTCTGGCCGTGCTTCAGTTGTCACTTAAAAATGTAAACGACCACATTAATCTTTATAGTTTTACTGGTTGTAGAAGTGGAGGAATTTGGATCAGGTTTGTATCATGTTGCGCAGGCCACCATTTTCTGCTTACATGTAGGATTATATTTCATGTATGCTATCTCGAGTTATTTGGACTTGAGAAGACACTTTATTCTGTTGGCTTTATGTCAGAGGTAAATGAGTAGACTATAAATAAGGTCATAGGCAACACTATTTAAGCAATTTGCTTTACTAATTTGTGTGTAATTAATATAATGCAGGCCAGGCCAAATTACAGGTTCGATCTATGGAGAGGAGGAGGAGAAATTACGAATGCATGTGTTTTAAACAATAAAAACACCTGTAAGTCAATAAATGCACAACAGTTAAGTTTAATGCCATACTATGGAACATTCCAGGCACAGCAGCGTCGTCTTCATGGAGATAAGATGGTGATGGAAGCCATATTTATTTAGTTTTTTACTTAAACATAGCACTGAGTGATATGACGAAAATAGTAATAATAATTTAAATAGATTTTAATGGAAGTCCGAGCAGGGACAGCTTGCGTTTCAAACAGGGGGAAGCTCTTTAAATTTTCATTTTATCATATCTTATTATTTAAGAAATTGCAACTGACTTCAATTACATTTGTATTTATATCTATCTCAATAAGCCTGCTTTGCGAATAAGAAAGTCAGGAGTAAACTTGTT